AGAAATTATGTTGAACAAGGCTTATTAAGCTGAACATCGCCACAATTGTTCTGCTATGTATCGGTACTTATTTTATTTTATTAACGTGTGAATGACAAGCATTAAGAAATAACAAAAAGTTGCTAATTCTCTTGCAGATTGTGAGCATGTTAGCCTAGCTTGGTAGCCTCAGCAAAATCGGGAGCTTGGAGCCCCGCCTTGTGTTTCAGCAGCAGGTCCCGCCTCGGCTCCGCCTCTTTGCCCTTATTTGGATCAGGCTGGAGCAGGCGGGAGTTAGACTCTGACGTCACTGTCGAGACGTTAGTGGCCGACTCCACCTACTTTAGGCTTCTCTGCAACTCTGCAGAATCCTATGGGTGACGTCACGGACACTACGTCCATTTATATATACAGTCTATGAACATTACGTGAATAAATAGCAAAAGATAATTCCGCTTGGACTGCTTACAGTTTGTAATGTGGATTATAAAAAATAATTGGCACACTGATAAAAGAAAGGGATGATGTTACTGAACTTCTTGAAGAGCATTAGTCATATACATATACATATATAGCTTATTACCATCTTAGTTGAATACTCGATTCTGGATTCTGGATTTTATCAAAAAACACAAAACTTTAGATTCATGATGGCTAAACTGTCCCGGGTAAAGAAATGAAAAATTGCGCAAGAGAAGGAAAGAGGTTAAAAGACAGGTTAAAGTCAGAGAAATCAGCAACAGAAGAACGACAGGAAGTAAACACTAAGGGAACACAGTATGGGCTCTGGCAGGGTTCAAAGACTGGTTAATGGAAAAGAAAATGTGAACAGACTTGGACAGTTAGAGAAAACCTTGATCAGTGCTGCTGTCATTTTAAGTTAACTTAGTTTCGCCGCATTGCCAGCCGTTGGTACACAGTGGAATGGAAAATGTTTTTCTTAGCGAGAGTAGTACAGTAAGTCAATACAATCATTTATAATCAATATTGTGAGTCAAGTTGTTGGTTTATTTGGTATGTGGCTGTCAAAAGGCACATATTGTGTTCTGAGCAAATACAACTAAAAACCCTTTGCTTGGATTAAGTATTTGGTATTAAGTATTGCACAGTACTGACCATAAATACTAATGGCTTAACGGTCACATTTGACTGTTTCATATTGAATTTTACATCTTTGCACTGCATGATGTCAGAAAGGCTTTAAAGATGGAAGATGAGAGGGGGGCGTGTGCAAGAGGAGGAGATCGGATGAAGAAAGATGAATGACACAGGGTTTAAATAACATCCATTACCTTTTATCTGCTTATGAATATATCCTTAGTGGTTATCATAAATGTTAATAATACGTTTTATTGGTAACAAATCCCTTTGATAATCATGTCAGTGTTGTTTTAATCCATACTGTATACTGCTGGATTGAGCATATTCTATACTGTGCAATACTGCCTGCAACTTTGTCTCTGATAAACAGCACCACAGATGGCGGTAGAGCGAGCACAGTGGAGAGCAGATAGAGGAGAGAGAGAGAGAGAGAGAGAGAGAGAGTGTGTTTCCAGCGTCTCGTCTCCTTCACAGCGCTGGAAGGTCAGCCGAGCCTCGAGCCGTAACACTCGCTCCCTTTCCTCTTCAGTCTCGCTTTTATTCCAGCAGCAGCACCGCAGCGCTCCTTGACAATTGTCATCATGACGAATCAATATAGACTCTCCACAGACACCTCATCCTCACCCCCCCCCTGCCGCCCTTGAGTTTTTAAACACTGATCCAGCAGATAGTCCAGTTAAAGTCTCTTCCCAGGACTTCTATTTCATAGTTTATCCTTCACCTCTCTTCTATCCCTCCTTCCGCCTTTTCAATTAGTGTACAGTATGTTCTCTGTCTCTGTTGGATCGTCCTCTGTTTCACTCTACGCATCATTTGAAGATTTAAAGGTATAATATGCACCATTTCCACTTGTAAAGGACTAACAACAACCAAGGGTTTGTTATTTACTGTGAGTTGTGTACTTACTTTATACCAAATGTTCAAAAAAACAAAATAAATCTATAATTTCAACTCAGGTAACGGTAGGTTATTTTGTTGCGTTTAATTCCTTTGGATTGCCTTTGCGCATGCATCAGAGTTCGGGTGTTTGCTAGAAGCTGTCATAAACTTGACTTTGGATATTGTGTATCCAGTTTTAAGCCACATTTTCAGAATAAACGTTTTAGAACTATACTTTTTTTTAAACTGAATGAACGATTACAGACATTGGACTTTTGCATCAGAAATACAGAAATTAGAGAAACAAGCCGAGCAAATGTTAGTACTTCTAACAGAATTTTCACATGAAACTCCTTTTCTCACTGTTTTTGACAATTTTGTTTACTTGGTCTGTTTGTTTCGGAAAGGAAAAGACCCCTGCAGATTATAAGGATCCTTATAAAACTTTACTCAAAGTCTTAATCTAGAGATATTTAGAGAAACAAATTGAGCAAACGTCAGCGGCATCTTGGTTTGCTTTGAACAAGGTGGAAGAAACATTGATTTTAACGAAAAATTGCTTTTTTTGAGTTTTTAGCAGTTTTAATCACCTTGTTTGTTTTTGAGTGAAGACCTCAAGGATAAAAACCTTTTTGATATGTCATAATATTGTTGTAGAAAATGTAGCATAAATAGTCCTTCTTGAACATTATTTGCTGTGGACTCAAACTTTGGGTGAGCCATGATATTTAATCCTCACTATCTATAATAAAAGAGTGATTTTAACGTAGGAGTTTCTAATTTGAGGTGTGTTTCATTTTTCTTTCCCTCTTTGCGTTGACTTCAGGTGTTATTTCACTACGTCTTATTTTCAGCTGACATGTAATTGTGATTGTGTGTGTAAGTAATTCTTTCCAATCCGTTGTAAAGTTGACAACCACCATAAAACCAATCAGTGTGTGTGTGTGTGTGTGTGTGTGTGTGTGTGTGTGTGTGTGTGTGTGTGTGTGTGTGTGTGTGTGTGTGTGTGTGTGTGTGCTGATTAGCGAAGTGCTAAGGCATGCGGCACGTAAGACGCGAGTGCTAATTCGTGTTGCGAGCATCACAGTGACTCGTCTCGGCCCTCCGGTAATGAGCAGCACTGACGTTATGTGGTTCAGCTCCACGGTGTTTCCTCCCCGTCTCTGCGACATACTGGGCCTAGGTAATTGGTCACAGAGGGGACAGTAAATCTGCGAGAGGACGTGGGAGAAACACAGAGATGGAGCGAAAAAGTGTGTGTGTGTGTTTGCAGGAAGAGGTAGGTGATAGAGGACAGGGGGTGGGTGTCTTTCATCTTCACAGCTTTTTCTCTGTAAACCTCTAACTGTTTACAAGGATTGAAGCCTATTTGCACACATACACACACACACATACAAAGAGAGCCCCCCACCTTTACTGCTACCACCCACACGTATATACAGTAAATGACCTCAGCGCGCCACAGTCTCTGAGTATGGATTCTAATCAGACGTCGGCAGTATTGTGTCTGTCAAACCCGGCCAAGGTTACTTAACCTTCCAGTCTTAATTTCCCTTCCATTTTAGCTCCTTCCTCCATATCAAACATCAGCACATCTATGACAGAAAAAAGGGAAAGAAGAGTGCGGGGAGGAAAATGAAGATTGCCATGCTTGGCTGAAACTCGCAGATGAAAGTAGAGGATGATTCACACTGCTGTGGCAAAATGAACTGAACTGTGCTGGGCTATTTTTAAACTTCTATACATTGCAGCTACTGGAAGGGGACACTGTGAAGCAGAGCCATTCATTTCTATATCACCAGAGAATGGGGGGTTCCTGGAAAGTGTATGGAAACTAGCGCAGTTTACCAGGAAGATACGTTTTTGGTACATTCTGTTAGCTAGATGAGTTAGTTATCACTTAGTCTGACTGTGGACTCATTTTGTCACCTCGACATAGTACAAACGTCCAAAATGCTGTCACAATCTTTTACAGATGTGTAGTTTGGATCACAATGAGGGTCGATTGGAAGATGGCTATGGTCAGAATGGACAGCAGAAGTAGGAGGGTAGAAAGTGAGAAAGGGAGCTATTGTTCCCCAGCTTTATGTGATTGGCCAGATTTTATTTGCAGTTGGTTTGTTTTCATTTCAAGATGGTCTATAGTTTTAATTAAATATAGGTAAATATACTTTATGTTGACTTGTGGTTTACCATTTTTGGTGACCCCAGTGTTTGTTAGGGTGGATGTATTTGCCCCAAGTTTACAAGTTGGAGTTACAACTTTAAGAGGCGATCCATTGTACTTTTTCGAGAAGGAGGTTGGAAATGTATTTGCGTTACCAAATCTTTTCATACTGCTGAATGAACCCAAACAATTCTGATTCCGTCTATAAGACAACAGTATAAAGGTACTTAACTTAGCAGCGTTCAGCTATTATGCCCCGACAATCTGGAACAAACTGCCCGAAACATGCACGTCCGCAGAGACTCTTAGTATTTTCAAATCGAGACTGAAAACATATATTTTTGCCGCTGCTTTTAATTGAGCTGATCATATGCGCACTGCAGTATGCATTTTATTCATGTATTGTATAACTTGCCTTGCCTTGCCTTGCCTTGCCTTGCCTTGCCTTGCCTTGCCTAACTTACTTTTGTATAGTACGGTGTTCACTGGAGCAACGACAACTGCTGTTAGAACCCTAACCCTTAGCGTTGAGATTGGGATGTGTCGAGCATTTCACACACAACTTTTGAACATTATGAGTACACCTTCTGGGTACTAATTATATTGCAACTATATTTTTCAGTATGATTGCAATTATGCAATTTAAGACACATCAGCATGCTCACAATGAAATACTAACATGGTGATATGTATGTATCATGTTTAACAGTTCACCACCATCTTAGTTTAGTATGCTAACATTTACTAACTAGCCCTAAACACAACGTGCAGCTAAAGTGTAGATTCAGGCTCTGCCTGTTGATGAAAGTTGAACATCTTCAAATAAAAAGCAGCACAACACATAGAAGCAGAGAAAGTGCTTTTTCTCTCTCACCTGAAAGGTCCAGAGGCCCTGTGGCTGCTCCCCCCAGCAGTGCACCGTCATCAGGGTCCAGTTCTTCAGGCCGGCAGTGGACGCGTCATTGGGCCTTCTGTCCAACAGCAGTGAGACAGTGCCAGCTGGAGACGCCAGGCTTATGGAGAGGTCACCGCGACACACCGCGCTAATGCTCACTCTCACCTGGTGAGGGACAGGTGGCAAGAAACAAAAAAGACGGAGGTGTGAAAAGGACGATTGATAGAGGGTTAGAGAAATAGGGAAGACAATAGAGAGGAGTGGGTGGACAGAAGACAAAGAGCATCGAGCCTTCTCTTCAGTATCACTGTATGACACCTTGTAGCTGTTTACTGAAAACGAGGAAACTAACTGAAATAATCCACATTTTATTGACACACACTTTGCTGAATTGATAATTGATAATAATTGTATCTTAAAATTAGTTATTTGATATTAGACACATTTGCCCTCTTACTGAGAGTTTATTCAGAAAATTGATACCCATGCCATATACAGTAAGCTTAGCATAAAGACAAGGGGAAAAAACTAGCATATGTTCTCTATCCTGTCTAATAACTTGGTATTTAATTAATATCAAATGTATGTAAGAAGAACAAAACATTTTATTTTTGAATGCATGCAGTTACTGCGCTTTTTAAAATAAATGTTCAAATAAATACACCCCCAAAAACATTTTTGAATTTACACCTTTTGGTACACTTGGTTTTCGTACCCTTTACCTTAAAATCATAACAAAATAATGACGCTTTTGCGTGACTTTCTTACATTTAGGAAGAGAGAGCCAGGATATTTTTTTCATTTCCAGTCTTTGTGCTATGCTAAGCTAACTTTATTTGTAGCATACAGGCATGAGAGGGGCACCAATCTTTTAATCTCTCTCTGCATGAGAGTGCATTATGCATGTTTCCTAACATTTTTAACAATTCTCGTAAATGTGAAGCTAAGCCTCCTCGGACCAATCAGTGGTCATTAAAAAGTACCAGATAACTGTACTCATCATAAATATCTAAAGTAATTCATGTGACACATGGACGATTAGGCAAATTGGAGGAAATTAGTCAAATGTATATCGAAATCCAGTCAGTATATACTGTGTATAGCAGACAGTTGGACATTGATCTGTCCATAGCTACCCAAAGATGAAGACAAAGACATGCAAAGAGCAAAAAAGAGAAGACACATTGACAGAAATGGCTGAGGGGAATATGAGCTAAATGATTTAAATAAGCACTTGCAGCCCCCAAACCCCCACCCAGTAAACACTCTCCCTGTCCCTGTTCATCAGTAGCAGCACATCTGGTGTGACAATGGCACATCGCAGAGAGAGCCGCCAAGCTGCAAAAAGACTGACAGCCCGCTCCTGTTTACAGCGTGTTACCAGGGCAACACGTCCATCAATCACACCTCACAGCGATGGCCTGACCCACGCTTTCTGCCAGGGAGCAGAGCCGCAAAGATGAAGCCTTTTCAATTTACATGCTGACACACTCCCGCACTCTCTCTCTCTCCTCGCTATTTCACAAGTACATAGAACTCACACACACACACAGTTAACTCGCACAAACTTGTGCACGTACACACACAGGGTGTGTATGCCTGCTGACACAGTTAAACATAAACACATTTGCATGTATGTGCCTGTGCTCAAGAAACACCCAGTTTTGCCATTTTCTGCAAACGACACAGCCAACACATTACACATCTCAGTATGATGCTTTTTTCACTGTTCTCAGAACACATGACACAGAAATGCCAAAAAGGATTTCTATGAAACATTCAAGCACAAATTAATTTTCAATAGACTTCATTTGTATAATGTCAATGTTAAAAAGGAAACACTGAAAGGCTGTAACAGCCCTTTTACAACAGTTTTATCAAGAGAAATTGACCTCTTCACCTCTCATGTTTTAAAAGAATAGTTCAACATTTGGGGAAATAATTGCTATCTTGGCCAGAGTAACATGACAACAATGCCACTCTCATACAGCATCTGTATTTTAAATATGAACCTTTAGCCAGTTAGCTTAGCATAGCATAAAAGGGGTTACAAATGGGGGTGTGCAGCCTGTCGGTTGCATCTCCTCTTATAGTCATTTGTACCTGAATATGTCAAACCCATCCAAATCACTGCCAACATTTGAAAAATGTATTTTTTAGACCCATTTTTGGATGAACGATGTTGGCCAGTGTCAAGCTCACTGACAAACACTGCATTTCCTGTGAGAAATCCATAATAAAAGTAAACTTGTGTTTTGCCAGCTAAATGCTTTTAATTTGAAATCGCAGCAGTACAGAATGTTCAGTTTACAATACAAGTGAGATCCAGGTCAGTAGTTTCCCCTTATTTCCTATCTTTATGCTAAGCTAAGCTAAGCTAAAGAACTGCTTGCAAAGCGTCTAAAAAATACCAACCTTCTCATCTAATTCACAATCATATGGGTCTATCCCAAACAGTTTACAATTCTGTAAGATCATTATTATATTTTTTTCCAACGAGACTCCTTAAGAAAACATATAGTTCACTGTAGTGTTTTAAATCCTGACCTGGACGTGCTCTACAGTGTTGATCTCATTCTTCCTCCCACGACAGGCATCTGATTCTATATCAACACTGACCACGCCCCCTGGAGAGAGGATCCTAACCAATACAAAAAACATTACATAAGTCAGTAAGACCTCAGACATGTTTATGCATGAATAATAAACATTTATCCACCCTGAAATACACAGACACACACAAAGCAGTGACAGCATATCTGAAGATAAGATGAAAGATTATTGATTCCTGTGGAGAAGACGTTCTGCAGGTAAGGCATGTGATGCAAAGCAATATAAATAGAACATCAGCAGCTATAGGGGGTTAAAAACCTACAGTGTGTAGTCGAAAGTGGTAGTTTTTCCATCAAAACCTTTCAATCCTGCTTTCTTCATCTCAGAGACAAATGAAGAACTAGACCATGTATTTCTCCTGAACATCTCGAAGCATGTATCCACACCTTTAAATGTGTTGATAAGAAAAATGCACTTCTGGCATCGGCCAAAATACGTGTCCCGTCTCCAGTTCATTCAAAACTTCTTCTTGGATTTTGACTCAGGCTAGGAGACATGAACCTTGCTGCACACTGAGATCCTTGAATGCATCTTCCTTTGCTGTTCTAAAGTCCAGATTCAAAAAGGGGATAGATCCTTTGCAGTCAATGCAAACGTGGTATCGTCTTTTTTACAGTTAAAGGTGGGGTATGTAATTTATTTCAGAAACACTTTTTGTTATATTCCATGAAATGCTCTTAACATCCCGATAGCAATGAATATATAAAATGCTTTGACAATAAATACATTAAAAAATGTCATCTGTTGAAGCCGTGACACTTTAAAAAGCACGACCAATCATCTGAGCCAGCCCGGCTAAAATAACTGGATGGCCTACCTGCCTGTCAGCCTTCCATCTGTGCACAAACTTATCTCGTGCCCTCATTAGTCATGTGCGTGTTTGTGTGTGTTGGAGGAGGGGCTCTGTAAGGAAGTCTGAAGGAAGAGGCAGATTTTTTCCGGTTGTGTACTTTCAAATTCTAGCGCACTCGAGCTGGTTTCTCCAAAATGACATACCCCACCTTTAATCAAATTTAAAAAAATGTCAACGATTTCAGTTTTATAACATTTTAGTTTGCTTTTTTCTCTGTATTCTGTTTTCAAATGGTTTGGGTTTGGCACATTGTAACTGTGTATTTTGAAAAGTGCTATATAAATACATTTATATTTCAAGTTATTACCTGGTAGGATGTAGTGTAACCTCTTTGATGCACTTCCTCTGTGGAGAAACCGTGTTAAAGAGCGTGCCCTGCTGCACCATCAGCCCTGCATCCAACAATCCAAAACCATACCTGGAACAAGAAGGGAACATAAAAGCATATGTGTTTCTGTATACAATCAGAAACAAAATCCTTATATCCCCACACACATGTGATCTGGAGGCTTTTACTGTACGTGGGCGGCTGAATGTGCTAATGGCTCCGACATGAGGAAGCAACAAGTCATTGAGGAAGATGATGTTGTCCTCTGACATGATCGCTCCCCTCTCTCTCCGGGGCTGAGGGCTGCTGTGTGTACCGCCTGTAATTGCCCGGAGGATGGATTCCGAACAATGTGCCATCTCACGGACTGTAATCAAGCCTCATTATTCATTCTTTACCACCCCAATCTGGGTGCTGGAGACACAATGGGCGACCCTTAAGCGGCGTCGCTGCCTGGTGACTGTGTGACCGCTGCCTAGCTTACACTCTCTTCTCCACTTTACCAGCCATCTCTTTACGTCTCTATTGAATCATCCGCTCTCATGTTTCCTCTTTGCCCTCTTCTTCCGCAGAGCAGCCTGCTATTCAGTGTTTTTTCCTCTCTAAAATCTCCTTCACTCTCCTCCTTTAAACCTGAATTTCTTGCATCAGAACTCTCTTCCTCATAAGTCTTAATTCTCCCTCACATCTTTAATTTTCTCTCTTTCACTTCCCTCTTGTTAAAATCACAGTCCTCAGGCAGAAGGGCCGTAACAACCTTCATTCTCCCCAACCCCTCCTCTAGGAAAATCCAGAGGGGGTGACAAAGAGCTAATTTCTGCCATTATTACCATACAGACCTTATGCCGTTAATCTGCAATAAGTGAAATTCATTATCCTGATGACGGGGTCTCCGGGAGCAGCAGAAAGAGAGAGACAGACAGGAGACAGGAGCGAGCTGATCAATAACTCAATCTGCCGCCCGGCATGGGGCTCCGTCTCCTCCGCTCAGACTGTCAGTGTGTCTGAGGAGGGGGGGCAGCAGCAGAGCCCACAGCGTCCTCGTCCTAACAGCACGTCGTGCGATCAATGGACACAATCTAATCAGCCAGTATCACCACCAATGACTTTTAGCATGTAGGGCCCCGGCATAATAGCATTAGGCAGACGGGTGTGTGGGGTTAAGGTGCGCGGCTGAAGTTCAAGGTCATTCAGGGGGTTAGAGAAAGCTGTGAAGAGTCGGAGCAAAACACAACGACTAGAGCTGAATGCAGAAGACTAGAGGAGAGAGGAATCAACATGGACCCTAATGAGAAGTAAAGAACGTTAACATATATTTGTTTTGCTCTTCAAAATGCGATTAAATGATAGGAGGTAGCAGTGTTTTTGTTTAGTAGTCAATGTTTAATAGAAGCCATTACAAATCGACTGATCTGTGATCCTGAATGCTAAACCATATTTAAAAACGCATTCAAAACATCTTAATGTGGCTGGTTAAACAGCTATGACAAAAACTAAAAAAACATCTTTGAACCCACTTGAGGGCGGGAATAAAATAGAAATTTGTAAAAATGTAATTAAACCACAAATTAAATGGGGCCTATTATGCTAATTCTGTGTAATATTTTTATTTTGTGCCTCTACTGTGACATTTTTACACAATTTAATGTTCAAAAAGCTATACATTTTTTCATACTGTGCTACAGCACCTCTTTTCACCCTCTGTCTGAAACCAGAGCCCAGTCTGCTCTGATTGGTTAGCTGGCCGGCTCTGTTTCGATTGGTCAACTGCTCATAGATAAGCCTATCATGCACATGTGTCGAAGCACTTGCCAATATAAGCGTGAGTGTAACAAAGTGATGTCACAATCTTACGGAAGAAAACAAAGGATTCCAATGGAGGGAACTTTGAGATGTTAGCCCTAACACAACAGACTCCTAAATGGTGGCAAAGTTTGGTGGTGTTTGATTTATAATCCTCATTGGACCCTGACTCCAGCTGCTTAAAGTAGAGATAGTCAGTTTATTGTGTGGGGAGATTCTTATGTAGTAACTCTGGTTATTATCTTGGATGCATACAGTGGAAACACTAATATACTTTAATTTCTGGATATGGATACCTAAAATGGATACGTTTAATAATAACACCAGCAATAACAATAGATCATGTAAGATATTTCCCAGTGTGGGGAGAGCTGATACCCTGACTTCTCATAAAACAGGAACAGTTGGTGACCGGGGCCCGCCACCCTGCTCCCTTTTAGAGATTAAATATACCCTCCCCACCCTGTACCCCTTAGCGAGAGCTGTGCACCTATTAAATCCTACAGCTCCCGCTGATCGATCGGGCTTGCCCCAGCTCCACGGCCATAAACCCACAGACATATATCTGATAGAGAAAGCTGCAGGAAACAGGTTTACCCACGATAGAACATGATGAAAATGACAGATTTTATGTCCCCTGCCATGTCAATGAAACGCAACCACTGAGCTGAGCAGCCTTGAAGGAAGAACACACAGCCTTCTCAGCCATTCCAAGTGAGTAACACACGTACAGCGTGAGCCTTGGGATTTCTCCAAACAACATGATTTATAGCAGTATCTTTGTGGGACACTGCTCAGTCATTGCAGGATTTGTACATTTTTCTGACTCGATTGAGGTTTTTGGAGAGACTGTTTAAGATGAAACCCACATCATATCAAGCAATTAGTCAGAAAACACAGTCATCACATTCTAAACTTGTTCCTTCTCCACCTCCTGCGTGGTCGTAGGCAGGTTGAGCCAAGCCGACTGCAGAGTGACAGCGGATCTTCTGTCCACGCAGCACGAAGCATGTTAAACCCCCGACCCCCCGCCTCCACACATATCGAATCCACGGCCCTCGCATTTTCTCCGTCTACTTTCACTCCTCGACGGCAAATGCCCTTGCACACTCTTAACTCCCTCCTTCTTTTTATCCATTAGGACGAAGGCCACTCCCCCCCCCCACCTCTCCATGGGGGCCTCTTTGTAACTGTCGAGGAACCCTTTTCACTTTTTGTTCTGCGGGCCTTCCCGGGTCCTTTCTCTGTTGATATTCACACCATCTGCCAGCAGCGTAAGGAAGGTGCACACAGACCCTCCCAGCACTGAGACATCAAAATCTCCAGGGTCGGGGTCCCCGCTTTCGTCTTTGCACACAGCACTAAAAACACAGCTTTAACAACTGGTATGCTGCAACCAAAACAGGTTTTTGCAGCCATCCAGGGACCGAGTTACTGCGGCCTCACCCCTTGTTTGCAGTGGTACGTCCTGCTAAGTCCCCCCCCCCCACAAACCATCCCCAATAGAAGTGGCTGTAAAGAATCACTCAAGCCGCACTAAGCAGCTGCCTGTGAGTTAGGTCATTTTCCCAGGAGCCACAGAGTGGGCATTGGCAGGACCTCAAAAAGAGGGGACACCATCTGTTCGGCGCCTGAAAAGGTTGGTGACACCTTCTGTGGTACCAACAACTTCTAATTAAGTGGCCAGGAATGCAGGAGCAGCTCCCTGCGCGTGATTGGTCGGCTAGCCTTAGTTATCCTGACTGCAGTTTCACGCACCTCTCCATCACATCTGGGCTAATGAAAAATGAAGAAGTGGAGACAATAAGCACTTGATGAAGGTGACACATGACTGTAGTAGCCAACAACAAAACAAGGGGGTTTTGTTTTCGGCTTGGTTTGTTTTTTCACCAGGATTACATAAAAATGACTGGGCCAATTGTTATAACATTTGTTGGGAAGGTGAAGAAAATATTAAGAAAGAACCCATTATTGGATATGGATGTTTTTGAATCCGACTCATGGGGATGTTACAAAAACAATGTTTTAAATATGTAAGATTGGGCATTTTAATGGTCCATTGCCTTGCTGTACTGTACTGTAGGTCTACGCTTCCTGAGTGTACTTCTACTTCCTTTTAATTCTTATGTTCTTTTGTCCCCTTTTTGTACCACTTAATTGAATGTTCATCGGGTAGCATTGAAAACTGCTTTAGCCCCATGGTCAATCCCAGCGTGGTTTGTTGCTGTTGTATCATGACGCGCTAATTTCATTAAAATCAGGAATTAAATGAAAGAACAAATGGACTTAACATTCGTCTGATTTCCATCGCTCCTACAGCCAAGTCTGCTGCTCAGAAATGTTACTAATTAGGCTTATTAAGTAATTAAGAAGAGGTCTTAATTATATCTGCGCCACTGGGACCTGCACGGCACTAACCATGAAATGCTGTGCCGCGCTGCTCCGCTTTATTGGCTTGGATGTTATACAATTACATCCATTTAACTGTTCTGAATGTGTGCCTTTAAAAAGAAAAAAGAAATGTGGAATACATTTTTAAGGCAGTATTAGGCAAATATCTATCTCAGGTGAAATTGCAGAGGGAGAAACACTCAGCAGCCTTCAACGGCGCAGCCTCAAAATGTCAAGTGAATTACCTAGCAAAGAGTTAAAAGTTTAATGAAATATATTGCGGGGAGGAAAATGAGGGGTTTGGCACAGGCATGGTTTTAGTCTCAGGAGAATGGGCACCGAACGGCCCTCTTAGTCTCCACAGCCATCAGTCAAAGCAGCAGCCACCCGTCCCCTTCTCTCACACAAGGAGACTTCTCTGGAAGCCGCAATGATCTATACCCCATGACCTCACTCTCAGTGTCCAACATATTTTGATTTGTGGCTTGAGTGTTATTCAAACACAAATTCAAAAGAGGATGAAATTCAGCAGAGAGCTTTTTGTTGGACGCACACCAAGGTACAGTCCTTTAAGATGTCTCTGCCCTTGTGGCGAAAGAGAGGGGGGGGGGGGGGAGAGAGAGGATTGAGTAAGCGCGGTGCTACAAGCCTGGCATCAGATACCCTCCCACTGCCTTTATTTCCCTTTGGACAAAGCAAACACTGAACCGGGAACCTTTGTTTGCCTCTTCAAATGGGCACATTTTTGATGCCATATCACTAAATGTGATAGAGCAAACGGAAATGTAACAATCAAAAACAAAGTCTGTTTTGTTTAAAGGACATCTGCTTCATGATTTCAGCATGGAAGCCACACAGAGATCAAAAGCTCTGTGTTCCACATGCAATGTAAAATA